TCTCAGGATTAAAACCTAGAGAGAGAGAGAGAGAGAGAGAGAGAGAGAGAGAGAGAGAGAGAGAATTGTACCAAAAGGGAAATCCAGGATGAGATGATGAGGACAACGCCAAGTGGCTCAGGGACTAAATGTGCACTTGCAGGGAATACAGCCAGCGGTAAATCTGCCTGTAATTAATTAATTACACAGTATATACTTACAAACCACTGTATGTATATATGTATATAAATCAATGGACTTTAATTTGGGAAGAAGGAAGAAGATGGAAGGGATGAAATGACCTTTTTGCCCACCATCCATTTCTTCAACCCTTTCAATGCATAGTTCACAGACTTTATCAACGGCCCTACCTACAGACACACACATGTATATATATGATGATGATGAAAACACACACAAAAACACACATAAAACACACACACACACACAAACACAGACAGACTTCTACCTCATCTCTGAAAGATTCGACGGGATGCTTGGCCAAGTCGTGCTGGAGTGCAGTGTGGATGTGTTCTTGCTTCTCCATAAGAAGAGACAGCAGATTCTTGAGCTGTGTAGTCCGCCATTTTTCTTCCTTCGTTTTCCCGGAATTAAATGTTTCTCTCAATTCTCTCGCCGCCGTTTCAATACTATTATTATTATTATTATTATTATTATTATTTTTGCTGCTGCTGAAATCCTCCATTGAAATAATAACAAGTTGATATATAGTATAATAATATTATTACATGCATGAACTCTAGTGTGTATTTATATATACTTGGTTAGACATTTATTTATTACAGCTGGCCGAGCTGGGGCTATAGCCCTACAGCCCTTACCACTCTTACTTTTCCATGTGCCCTTCCATCTCCAACAACCTTCCGTTTTGTTTCATGCACACGTGTCTGACACTCTCGCATAACTGTATTTTCCTCTTTTTTTTTTCTTTTTACTATTTTTAATTATAAGACCGACGTTGTTATTAAGACTCAAGTCAAACTGCCGAAACGGTTTATTCTATGCTACAACGGTTGAAATACACTGAGTAGTAGATCTTTATATTTATACACGCACAAATACACATCCACATTGGTGTGTGTGGTTTAATTTCACTGAGTGTAGCATAAAAATAATATACAGTACTCGTGTACGTTGTATAACTCACGTTTATGAGCTTTTCATATTTTTGCTGCTAATTTTCAGGGAAATTGTTGCATTTTATTAAATTGAGTGAAAAGATGAGACAATAATTTAAATTAGGATAACCAGACAAAATCGTATCTCTCTTTCAAACCCCATGCATGTATGTAGATAGTGCCATAAAAAATACAGCTAATCTCCTCAATTAATGCTATAATTCACTTGTGCTCAACTCCCAACTACCACTTCTCCACGTGAATAACATCATTATGACAATTTTCCTTTTTTTTTTTTTTTTTTTTCATATATATATATATATATATATAAATCTCTATAAATTGATACAGTTGGGATCATCAAAATTTCATTAATTTAACGAAATATTAACTTATTGATGAATTAATAATTATTAATTTATATATTAATTAATAACTTATTAATTTATGAAATTATTTTTATTATTATTTTTAGTAAATTCATTTTATTTCTATTTTTTACGTGTATATTATTCGTTGTACCATTAGTTAATACACTATAGAACCTGTTTCACGAACCGAAACTCTTAGAGCAACAATGGTATTGAACAATTTTCTGTTGAGTTATGAGAAAACTATACAAAAAATCTAACCATATTAAGAAAAGTGAGGGATGAGATTGATGTTAATGTGAACTTCATCAAGAAACAAGCGGCAATTAAAATATAATTTATTTAGCCTTCATAGATCTATAAAATGTGTATTGTACCATGTAATCTAAGAATTAATTTTATGCATTATTAATTTATATATTATATGGGGCTTCTTAAAATTTCCGAATGTTTATTATCTTATAAATTTAGAACGTTGTCCCCAAATCGGGACTGAGAAAATTTATTATTTAAGCGAGGTTATTAATTTATCGAGGTTCTACTGTATTATAATTTGATGGAGGCTGGTTTTGATAGAGATAAGCCCGGTAAAAGGATGGGCCAAGCCCGCATCTAGCAGGGCCTAAGAGGAGGGAAGGATCACCGGGCCCCCAAATGGGCCATGATAAGCGAAGTGGGCCCAGAGAAAGCGGTTCGTTTAAAGCCCGTGAGATGCGAACAAAAGGGAGCCGATCGTGGAAAATGCCATGAATAAACCAAGGCCCCGTTTGGTTGCAAAGATAAGCCATGATTAACTAAATAGTTGGACTTAATTTGATGTTTGGTATCCTCAATAACTTGCCGGGTCGACCCGCCAAAATTAAATAATCATGGCTTATCTTGTCTTATCTTGGCTTATCTTGCCTCTTAATGAATTTTTTTTGTTGGACCTTTCAAGCTCCAATAAAATAATTGGGTCTCATTAGATTATTTAATCTTATCTTGGCTAATCTTATCTTGTCAACCAAACGAGGCCCAAGTGTATCAATTAATACATAATTATGGGAAAATGATAACTTGTTCAACGTCGCTTTAGTGGGTTATACCGTATACGTCTAATCACATAACCCGTTGTACAATATGCATTAACATTTTTACCTAATTTCTTTAATTACACATCTAATCAATCATATTATTGGTTTTGATGTACAATGTGCATTAACACTTGTCACCTAATTAGTTGGATCCGCCGATTAACTTTGTAGACTACCTAATTAACAATATATTTTTTTTTAATTTTGTTTTGAGAAATTCAAATTATGTTACAAACTGCACCAGCACTGATATGCAGTTTTTGTGATTAGAGTTTAGACACATTGAAATATTATCTTATTATAAGTATATTTTACCAAATCTTTTGAGTTATTAATGTGGAGTTTATTGCATTTAGTAACCATGAGTTTTATTAAATTATTAGAAAACTCATCGTGTTATAAATATTCGCAAAAATCCCCTCACAGTGCTTTTCTTTTTATCACACAACTCTTAAAAAGTGAGTTTTTACTTTTTAGGGGTAATTTGCTGAAAGAAAACGATTCATAGGGGTTATTGTATAATAAAAAACAATACGGGGAAATTTTTAGTAATCAGAGAAAATATTAGGGATTTGCGTGCAATAAATACATACATCTTCTATTTATGCCAATTTTTCCAATCCCGTTTCCCCCCAATTCTTAATTTGGACTGCCTCTCTCTCCCACCACTCAGTTCGCCGGTTCGTCGACCGCCGTTAGCTCCGTTGCAGAAGATCGGGAAAGCCACTAGGCGGCGTCAAGCTCCGTCTAGGGCACGAGTATTGGGGGTACGATTCTCTCACTGTGCAATGGGTGTACTTAATTAGGGTATTCAGCTTATTTTTGTTTATTTAATTTCTTCATTCTGGTTGATTATATTCCGATTTATCGCTGAATACATTGGGATTTTTATCTGGTTGCAGTTGCAAAAGGAAGAACGGTTGATTATGGAGTGCTTCGATTTGATTTCAGCGAACAAATTACAGAGTTTGAAAGGTTCGTGAAAATGAATTTTCATATTCTTAGGGAATTAATTATCCATATATTATTGTTCATTTTAACCATGTTCCCATCTAAATCTCATAAAACCCCCAAAAAAATAAATAAAAAAAATATTTAAAAATCAATGTCGAAAACTGTTTCGAGTAATAATAGTGAGATCAGATGATTAGGGGTTCCACAAAGAGAGTAGCAATGTGTGGTGCCATTACTTGAGGTTTCGCAAACCCGTCGTCGCCACTCCGATAATGTGAATCCGCTACTCGAGCATAGTTGAGAATAATCTCCATTATATCCTTTGGTATCGAATTGTTATTCTCCGATCTATTCATCCATTCTCGATTCAATTCCTTCCATCCATCCTCAATTAGTTCGACAAACTTGCTCGTCGTCTCTTCCACGGACACACTGTGCTGTTTCATGTAAAAATCCACCCCCGTCAGAACTTTTCCCTCCTTCCTCTCGCGCTTCACCATCAAATCCCGAAAAAATAATTTAGTAACGAATATGAATAATCACGCTAGATTGGTAAATTAAATGATATTATAATGATTTAATTACTTGATAGCTGCCCAAGTCGTCCATCAACCGGCACACCTTAGCCGAAGCTATAACTATTTGAGGCTGACTCATCAGCCAATCGATCGTTTCTTTTGAAGAAACGGATTTCATACCCGGGATCATGATAGAGCTAAACACGTAGAGGCAGCTCGTGATCACCGTATTCATCATGTACTCTTCAAATGTAGGCACGTTTCTTCCCATACCCCACTTTAGACCTTTGTTGTAAGCGCTACAAATTTCTTTCACCTAATTTATTCATTCGTTCGAATAATTAACCATCGATATGTATTCTTAGAGGCGGGCATGCATGCATGCAACAGTTTAGTTAGTACTCCTTACAGTTTGTATGGCATAAGGAACTGCAAATGATTTTCCTAGTTCGGCCGCTTCGAGTTCGTGCTCGGCATAAATATTGAAACTAAATCTGCATATAGTTACCATACAATCTGGGATTTCATCCACCTCATCAATATTCCACCTGCTCGAATATTGAACATACATATATTATATATAAATCTCGAAAACCAAAATAAGGAGACATGCATATGTGTACGATGTACCTCTGAAAAAGCTTAGTGAAAAGGTCAGCTTCTTCAAGTGTAGCATAATTATCGTATGTATCATCGATAAGTGTAAGCATTTGTACGATTTTAGTAGCTGCTATTCAACAACTAGAGTACTGAGGTTCAAAATGGAGCGACGAAGCCCAAACAAAGCCTTCCACCAATCTAGCTCTCGCGTATGACAGTCCCGACATCAGGTCAAGTTCCTTCCACCACCTTTAGGGAATAAATATTAAGACTAATTAACAAGAACCTATATATGTGTGTGCGTGTGTGTATATATATATATATATATATATATATATATATATATATATATATATATATATATCACCTTGAGAGTTGAGAGAGCTCTTGCTTGTGCATATTCTGCACATAATTGAAATCCAATTTGGCTAGTTTGAGAAGTAGGTCATTTCTTGATTCATCTTTCTCGTAAAATGATATATAATGACGGGCTTCGATTCTTGGAACGCCCCTAAGAAGGGGGTTTTGTAGGGCCCGCTTCACTTGTTCTACAAGTAATGGAGACTCTAATAATAGTTTTGGATCCTGTAACATAAGATTGAGATGATGTGTTGTGAATGCTAAAGCCTCGTCCAAGATTTGTTCGCCATGAATCCTCAAGTGTGCAGCTTCATACAAGCTCAACAATCCCTTACCATCACTTTCTAGGGTTTCTTTGAACGATTTGTTCCCTTCTCCCTTAAACTTGTCGAAAACGTCTGTTCAATTAATCCGATATAATCGTATCATACTCACATTTATCCAAATGAAGAGCGGCATGTATATATAAAAACGGAACTTACTAGAAGAGACGTGGTGGCGATGTTGCCTGAACAAACGAAATCCAAGTGCAGTGGTGAATAAATCATACTCTTCTTGAGAATCTTGATGGAAATTGACGAATATTTGTTGGAGTTGGCTTTCGATTTCTTGATCGAAGTGATAAGACAGTCCCAAACGTTCAAGTGTGTCGATTAATACTAGTTTCTTAATAATATTTTTTGGATTTCCTTCTTGAGCCTTGAGCATGATCATAGCTTCTTCTTTCAATGCTTCAATGGCTTCCGCATACTTCTTTTGTACCTTTGATGCCAAATATGCATCTTTGTTTATTTAGTATAGTAGGCAAAGCGCGAGTTTTGAAAGAAAAACTCCCGCTTGCTCAATCAGCCAAACAAACGGTTAATCGGGTGATTTTCCACCATAGTGGATTTGGGTGGTTTTAGAGAGAGAAAGTCAAGAATAGAATGAACGGTATTCGTAATTTTTATACCGGGTAAATCATTTCAGAAACACAATATAGAAGATATATATATGTATATATATTGCAATTAAAAAAACAACACAAGGTTAATTTATGGAATTAACTCAAAAGAATATAGCTAGAGATTACTATATGTTAATATCAGTGTACCTGATCATCCAATGAAAAGAAGAGAAAGTATCACTCCAAGTGCTTTGAGTGTAACTCACAATGGGCAAGCGAATATCAACAATGGTGGAAGCTGCCATTATTTGATTAATTAATTAATATGCTTTATGATTTTGTGCATTTTATCAAATTACAAACACACTTATTTACAGTGGCCAAATTGTAATACTCGCCTTCCTTTTCTTTATTTTATTTTTTCTTTTAAAAAATGGCAATTAGTGTAGTTGGTATTACATAAATATTTTTGGAATACGATAAATTAAAATGAACCAACTTACAATTCTTTTACGAAAATTATACACTATAAAACAAGATTATACAATTATGTATTTGCTTGATTTCACTTTACCCCTTGAAGATATCTTTTATTTTTGAACATTTTTGTAAAGATAAAGAAATAACGACACTAATAATAAATTAAGATATATATATACGTTTATTTATTTTTTCCTGGCATAGATTCATGGACCCTGCACCATAAAGAAATAACTAAAAGCAAAAGTAATCAATAATTCACTAGTATTATATGCCAAAAAAAAAAAAAAAAAAAATATCCACTGGTATCACAAAATCCAAAATCCAGATGATCAGAAATATATCCACTAGTATTCCCTCATTTAGATATAACATTTTAATTGCTTTTGTTTTTATAAAATCTGTTTAATATTGGGTTTATAGGTGGGGCCCTTAAGAAAGTGGGGTCCTAGAATCTATCTATAGGTTGGGTCGGGTCTTTATACTAGATTTTGTATTAAAACTTTTAAATTATTATGGTATTAAAGGAGAAGAATAGTTATATCATAATTTACATAATTTTAGAGATAAGTTAGTCGGCAATTGAGATAGGCAAATTCTGTCGGCTAACATCCAAATGAAGAAAAATCAATTATAAATAGGCCTTTTAAGTATTGGAAAGGGTTGGAGTACGTTGTATATAAGATGTTATCTCTCTCTATATATATATAGAGAAAATATGTTGAAATGGACCTTTGGTTGTTTTCAAAGGGCAGAAAAATGACAGCCACTACCACTCCATCCACAACCACATTCTTCGTCTTGCCCAATTTCTTCAAGCCCTTTTTAGTCATTTTAACGTATCATTTCGATTTCCAGTTTATTTTCGGCTCACGTTAGCACCACCCCCTCATTCTCTGATTTGAACAGACTGGAACTAGAAGAGTAGAAGTGGCATTCGAGCCAATGGTTGGGCTCCACGTGGAAGATGTAACGGTTCGGGGATGCGCCATGCGTAAATTAGCACCAATCAGCCTGAAAAGGACCAAAAAAATCATTTTGTACAGGATCATCTTCTCCACTCATCCCAGACCGTATATTCCAGGCCACATTTCCGCCGTTGGATTCAAATCCAACGCTTCACATTCACATCCATACAATCGATAATTACACACACACACACACAGATATATACACTAGCTGAATTTACAGAAACTGGAAACTCCGACCCTTTTTACCACCGGCGGCACCTCCTCCACCACAACAGAACCGCCGTCTAGAAGATGGCGTCGTTCGCCGTCACCTCCTCCCTAAACCTCCGCTTCCGCCCTCTCTCCACGCCAAAACCCCGGCGGCCCGCCACCCCCAAATCCCTCCACCTCACTCATAAACTTAGAACCCTCGTCAAAAACAGCATCACCAATTCTATCAACCCACACAGCCATGATCGAATTCCTTTCGCCAACCAGAACCCCGCATTCTCGCTTCCCGCCCCTAACCGCAACCCGATTGCGGCTGCCGCCGCAGCGCCGCCGTCGTCTCCTCCCGCTCCGCCGCAGCCGTGGCAGGGCGCCGCCATGAAACCCCTCATCGCCTCCATCGCGACGGGGGTCATCCTGTGGTTCCTCCCCGCGCCGGAGGGCGTATCGCGCGTCGCGTGGCAGCTGCTCTCCATCTTCCTCGCCACCATCGTCGGAATCATCACCCAGCCACTGCCGCTCGGCGCCGTCGCGCTGATGGGCCTCGGAGCCTGCGTCCTCACAAAAACCCTCACCTTCGCCGCCGCATTCTCAGCCTTCGGCGATCCCATCCCGTGGCTGATTGCACTCGCGTTCTTCTTCGCCCGAGGGTTCATCAAAACCGGACTAGGCAACAGAATCGCCTACCAATTCGTCTCCTTATTCGGCAGCTCTTCATTAGGGTTAGGTTACAGTCTGGTTTTCAGCGAAGCCCTTTTGGCTCCGGCGATCCCCTCGGTGTCCGCCAGAGCTGGTGGAATCTTCCTGCCGTTGGTCAAATCCCTCTGTGTTGCCTGTGGCAGCAATGTAGGTGACGGCACAGAGGAAAAACTCGGTTCTTGGCTTATGCTGACGTGTTTCCAAACATCGGTGATTTCATCAGCCATGTTTTTAACTGGTATGGCTGCAAATCCATTGGCAGCCAACTTGACATTAAGCACGATAAACATGTCGATTGGTTGGATGGATTGGGCTAAAGCTGCAATCGTCCCTGGACTCGTTTCACTAATCGTGGTGCCATTTTTGTTATACATTATATATCCTCCAACGGTTAAAAGTAGCCCCGATGCACCTAAGCTCGCTAAGGAGAAGTTGGAGAAGATGGGGCCCATGTCGAAAAACGAGATCATCATGGCTGGAACTCTGCTTCTCACGGTATACATATATAAACTTGATTGTGTTATAAAATTGCAGATTCAAGAAAACGACTTTTGCGGTGATAACCGATGCAGAGTTTGTATGGCTTGTTTGTCGTGTTGAGAATGCATTTTGTTGACTGTTTTTGTTATTAGGTGGGGCTGTGGATATCTGGAAGTGTGCTGAATGTGGATGCAGTTACAGCGGCGATTCTTGGATTATCTGTGCTGCTTATAACGGGAGTTGTCACGTGGAAGGAGTGCTTAGCTGAATCGGTTGCGTGGGACACTCTCACTTGGTTTGCTGCACTCATTGCAATGGCTGGTTATCTAAACAAATACGGTCTTATTTCCTGGTTCAGCCAAACTGTCGTACAGGTATATTTACTTCTAAATTTATATTGTCTTATTTAGTCCGTTAACATGCCCTAGTTATGATGGTAGATTCACCGGTTAAGAAAGGCGCAAAAAATTAGATTTAATAGCAAATTCAGAAAAGAAAAAAAAAAAGGGTTAAAACC